AAACTCATTTCAATTCTAGTTGAGGGGAGGGGGAATGAAAGGAGGGGGAGAGGAAGATGGTGGTGGTGCTCTCACTGAATGGGCATGGGGTGGGGGCGGGGTTGGCACACCTTCTATATGTGAGACATAACCACAAGAGGGACTCTACCTGACAAAATCATACATTTTGACCTGGTTGTTTGTTCCCTCACATTAACCTGAAATACATTTATTTTTCAAAAATAAAAAGAAATGCATGTGTGATAATCACCTTAAGCAGATGAAACCTTTCCTTGATTACTTATTTATAGTCACCATTAATCCAGTCATGACTACAGTGATCAGTACTATAGCAAGGTTGCAATGAGCTAAAACATACACAGGTCATCACAGGAAACTCTACATGGATTCAGGTTGCTTTGCTTTTTAAAATTTCTGGGTTTATTTTCTCTCTTTACTGTTGGTCAGGCTTCAAATTGTTAATTTTTTTCTAGCGTCTGCTTATTTATTGAGAACAGTGTCCTCCTTGCTTCAGATGGGCATTTTAAATTAAGGTTGGAATTTGGAAGAAGCTACTTCAACTAGTAAGAGTTGTGAGACATAAGAAACAACCCAAATAGTGCAATCAGTCACTGAGCTGTGACACACGAGGGCAGATCACCACGTGTCATATTCCTTCAAGGAGCACCGAGGTTTTGGACAGCAAGGATCTATAAACAAGCTACGTTCATCTAAAATTTCATGAGAAAGGGGAGGATGGGTGGTAGAGGGTGATTGGTGGGACCACACCTAGGGTCCATCTTACCAGGGTACATGTGAATCTTTCTAAATGCAGAATATAAATGTCTTAACACAATAACTAAGAAAATGCCATGAAGGCTATGTTAACCAATTTGGTGAAGATATTTCAAATTGTATATAAAACCAAAAAAAAAAATTTAAAAAAGCAAAATTTTATTGTGAGAAGCACTGTAAGATGTCCAAGTAGATTTCTAGTAAGATGAATATTTTAGTAAAATTTGATTGTTTAAAAAACCCATATTTCTTAATCATCAGGATGAAGAAATGAAGCAAAATCCTATCTTCTATCGAGGAAAATACAAATGGGAACCCTGGGAGAAATCAGTAGTGACTCTAAACATCTCAGATTCATTAAGAAAAAAATCTACTTATTATTTATGAATCTCTCAGCATCATTTATCCAGGTACATGTTTTGAGAGTTTGAAGGAGTCAAATTGCCTGACCTGTCTAATGTCAATCCCTACTTTCCCCCCATTCCTCTTTGCTCTGGTCTATTATCTCCATGGCATTTAATTTGTTGACTTTTTCCTTGTCCATCTCCCTACCTGAGTATAAAAAACACGGGGTCATGGAATTAGCTCATCTGGCTCATTGCTGTAACTCCAGTGCCTAGATGAACATCAGACTCACCGTCTGTGCTCAATAAATAGCAAATTGAATAAATGAACATTTAGTATTTACATGTTAGCAAATATACATGAGAACACTAGAGTGACTGCACATTGATGAGGGAACAGAACTCAAAAGAAAGAAGGAAGGAAGGAACAGGGGCGTGAGAGAAGGAAGAGTGAGGTCAGATGGAAGGAAGGAAGAAAAATTTGGCTAAGCTTCCCATTACCTAATCTCCAAAACTATCATAGGAGGTATTACAACAAAACGCAGAATTCAAAATGGCAGAGATTGATCAAAACAGGTGATGCACACAGTGATTCACAGCAAGATACATGTATAACAGGTGTTCAAATACGCAGTATTTGCAACAATTCAGACTAGAGAATGGAAGAACCACAATGGGGGAAGCCATAGGCCAAACTACTAAGTGGATTAAGGGGTAAACATGAAATGTTCCTTTTATTTTTTACTCACGTTCACACACAGGAACACTGCCATTCCAGATGCTTTCCATTCCAACCAG